TATTAAAGCCCTGAAAAGCTCTGGCTTCGCTGACAACTTGTACTGGAGCTGCCATCCTTCTGGCTCAGAAGGATTTGAACAGGACTTCTTTTGGAGCATGTCAACATTATATTTAATCAACAGTGTGGGTCACTGTAAAACAATAAGGCACTTATTTGCATTCTTCCTTGGGTTGAATATATATTTGGAAACACTCTCAGTTGCTCCTGGCCTGAAGAGTAAGAGACTTGGACTATGAATCCAGCTCGAGTTTTGCATAGTAGTGGAGAGCATTGCTAATGGGTACACATATTAAATGTATATTTTGCACTTACTTGCCCTATTAGCCTCACATTTCCCCTTTTTATTTTCTCCTGTGATGTAATGCCCTCTGAGAGGAAGAAAGGCTGCTGCTGTTTGTTTAAAAAATAAGTTGCTTCAACCAAATGCTCTGAGACTGAGCATATATCTGTGTTGCCATGTTCTGTTTGTGTAGGAGGAAAATTCTTATTTCCCATGTTTCACTATGTTGCACTGCCAAGTCACCCTAAACATGTTTTTAAATGCAATCTTGGTGACAAAATTTTGAAATATACTAATTTCACACGTAAAGCTAATCTTTTTAGTCTGTTTCCATGCATGGCCCTCTTATACACACACATGTATTCACCTGTTTTTCTGCTTTCCTTCGTTCCTGTTTGACTTAGGTCAGCCTTACAAAGTTTTCATGAAAACTTACCATCACAGATTCAAAAAAATCCAAACCCATAATCCATCCTTTGCCATAGCTATTGATAATGAATACAGCAGTGATATTCACTCATAAAACATCACATGCCATGGGTGAGTCAGCTTTTAAATTCAAGTGGGCAATTGAGTTGATGCCCTGGCTTCCCCTGGCTGGTTATGCTATGAAGAATGAATACTTTTCATTGACTTTCGAGCATCTGCATTGTTTTCATTTGTGCCTGGATTCTCTAGTCATTAGATCTTTGATTCCAGGTCTCTTTCTAACCTCAGAAACACCCTTACTCTTTTAGATATGTTAACTTTTAAACAAGGTTTATCAGGTACTTCAAACTGTTCCACATGTAGAATTGACAAAGGAGAATGGCTTATGGTATGTGCAGGTATTCACTCACATGATTAAACAATCTTTTCTTAACTTTTTTCAGTGTCTTTTACAAAAATAGGTGACTGTGTTAAATAGATTTGTTCTGCTAGGTCCTATGCTGCTGTAGTTCCCATTCAGGCATCCCTAATCAGGATAGAACTTTTTCATAAATTAAGCTAACATTTTGTATTACATAAATGCGCTGGAATCCACTTCGTGGACTGAACTGGTCCTTCAAGTTCACATTGGCCTATACACAGTATATATTGCCATCCTGTCAACTGACATCAACAATGTGAAGATCCACTGTAAAACAGCACTTCTGAAAATAAACATTAAAATGTACATGTTGCAAAGCATGTGGAAATAATTCAGGAAGATAAAATGGGTAAGAATATTCAATTGCTGTAGAAATATTGGAGATAGTAGAATACTTTTACTCATCTAATTTTTTTGAACTGAAGGTTTAGGGGGAAAAAACCCTTATACTGATGAGACCGCCTGAATATCTCAACCAGTCTAGTTCAGCTATCTAAAATAGAGTAGCTAGAGCTCTTCTTTCCTGGATTGAGAAGACAGAACAATTTATAAATAAATAATATCTAATAGGTATTAGATAAGATATAACATGCAACATAAATATAAACATTTTAATAAAGTATTTTTGGGGCAATTATATCAGGCTGTCTCTTCTCTCAAGTTATGTATCTGCCTCTTCCCCTTCCATTGGATTGGCAAGCTTCTAAAATACTTGATTGGATTCCTTTTGTTTCTAGTACTTGAGTTGTAGAACAAATTTGTTCTTATTAAGTTCGAAACATGTCTTATGAGCTTTTGTAAGATTAAACCTGGTTAAGCCATCCAACTTCTGAATTGTATATCTAAATGGCTAGGCCAATCATTATATTTGACACTTTTTGAAGTTGGCCAGAGTTTACCATGAGCAGGCTTCCTGGGTCAGACTGATAGCTGAATGTTTGTTCTGACATTAAATTTGAGGAAAACTTCTGATGTAAATTTCTTTGCATCACCTCTGCTTGAGCCTTAATACAAATATCCCAGTTTATTATTTGTATATTGCATTGATACTAACTCAGAAACAGATAATAGCAATGTTTGAGTTACCACTTGCATAGACATGTCATGGTAACATAATTTCACAGTCAGGTCTGAAAGGGGCTCTTAACCTAATTTTTAAAAATTAAGTTGGAAAAAAATTTCTAGTTTCTAATAGAAGAGTTTTTAAACATGTTTCCTGAGTTTATAAACCCTCTTCAAAGTGTTTTGACAAAGGTTTTTCTGCTCCCTTGTTTTTGAAGGGTTTTCTCAACACAGAAGAAACTGTCCTACTAAATGGGAACAGTGGATCTGCCTAGAGGAAAAACATTTTTCCTAATGGTAGTTATAACATAAGGGTTTAATTGTACCTACTGCAGCTGAGTTTTCAGACAGAAATGGGATTTTTTTTATATTGGCTGTGTCCCTTTCATTTGTGTAACACTTTACACTTGATGTTAAACTGTATATTATCTTTCCTTGGCTCTAGCAAAGTTCACAAAGTGCAATAGTTTGACTTATTTCACTGTGTGTGTGGCTTCCCAGATGAACCTCAGAAGTTTTTGAAAGAGTCTTTAACATTACCACTAAAAGGTACTGGTCCTGTACACCTTACTGTGGATCTTCATTAGTTAAGCTTTACTAACAAAAGACAGACCAAATAAAGATGTGTAGAATAGAGAATCTGACGAAGTGGGTCTTTGCCCACGAAAGCTTATGCTCCTACACTTCAGTTAGTCTATAAGGTGCCACAGGACTCCTCGCCGCTTTTGTAGAATAGAGAAGCCATGTAAATACATTGACTTTATACATTTACTGAATATTACATCACCTTTGTAACTTTGCAAGCCTAGCTTGCACTTACTTCATTTACTTGTTTTATAATGTTTTCTCTTAGATGGGCTTCTCTATCCATTGTCTACACTAGGTTGAATTGCTAGAACTCTCACTAGCAGACTTTCAGGTAGAGCTGGGAAAAAGCCATTTTTGATTAGTTTGCAATTTAAAAATTCAATAGAATTTTGTGTAGCGTTGAACAAAATATTTTGACAAAATTGAAACTTATTTCAGCTTGACTATTTTTAAATGTTTTAATTTTTTTATTTGTTGAGAATTTTTAAATAGAAAGTGGTTTCAAGCCAGAAAATCAAAATGTTTTATTCTGAAAATGTTGAAACAAAATGTTTTGAATCTCTTGGATTTTTTCCTATCCCCTCTTAAACAATATGGTAAAATGACAATTTTTCAAAATTTTAGTATCCCTGAACCTATTTGCTGAAAAAAGTTTTGGCTAGTTGTAATTTTGAGCATTTACAAATATCTGGGTAAGAAACTTTGAGGCAGAAAATAACTTAAAATCAAATTGGACTCTAAACTACATGAAGGCTACCTTAAGCCATTTTGGAATAAGCCAAAGGCTATAAAGAGATTAACCATCCTATCCATTGAGGGGGTTTATGTATATAATGGGATTTTTTTTTTAGAAAATAACCCAATTGTCCAAATTTTATCCAATTTGCAATCTTTTTTCAAGTAGCCTCATTTTGGCTTCTTCACTACTTGAGTTTTACTTAGTTTTTCCTTAAAGCTATTTGTAGATTCAAGAGAAATTTTTAATTTATTCTGATCACTGGAATATTTACACAATCTGCAGAGGATCAGTATTTTTTAAATTAAATATATGAACTATTACTAATTTGTAGCACATTTACATTGTGTAAGAGAGGCAGGCATCTTATTTATGCTTGTGAAAAGACTTATTTTATCCAGTTTTATTGAACTAGTAATACATTTCAATCTATGGATCTTCACCTGTGTCAGAGTAACATAAATTAATAAAAATATTGGGTAATTGAACTTGAACCTCGGTCATTTTGATTAAACGGGTGACCTATTTATATAATGCCACCTTATCTAAACATCTTTTGAGTGATGTGTTGTAAAGAGTGCCTCACTGTACCGTGTCATCTTAAATTGCATGTGTTATATTTTACACTAGTTGTCATCTTAGTTTGTGATGACTTTGAATAGTAATTTAAATAGTAGGGTTTACCTTAGAAAATTTGTATTAGTAGCTTTTTGACAAGGAAAAGTGAGTTTTGGCCAGATGTTTTAAAGTTACGAGCCTGTTTGAAGATATGGAACGTATTTCTGGCTTGTGCATCATGTGACCTGGAGCTCATGATTTTGGGCATGGGCAGAGAATGTAGTGATC